TTCTTGACCAAAGTAAGACTAATTTGGTAAATGTATATGTAATCTAGAAGCAATTCCCAAAGATAAAAAAACTCCCAAAGTAATTCCTAAGAAACATTTAGCCAGATTATATAAATTTCAGAATATTTGTTTAAAAATCGGTGCCATTATTTTATTGTAATACCATGCTTTTAAAAAGTCATAGTAAGGGACCAGCAGTTAGCGTAATTGCTATGTCTCTGGACTCCCATGTAGTTGACCACGGTTTGAGTCCTGGACCTGGCGGCTTAAACTCATGCCAGGCACGTGTGCGTGCGTTCCCAAGATCCTGAGAGGAGAATGGAGAAGGGATTGTGCCGTAGGCATCCACCCTGGAGGGTGATTTCTCACTTTCTTTCTCTCTGTCTCTGTCTTTCTGGCAAGCGCACGCACCCTACAGCAAAAACCTCTCAAAAATAAATAAATAAATAAATAAATAAATAAATAAATAAATAAATAAATAAGTCAGAGTAATATTATCAAGTTCTACTATTTTTTCTTCTAATACATTTAATACTTAATTGCTTTTCCATTCTTTCTGTCACATCCAAAATCCAAGCTGTCACTTTCTTCATTATCAATAAATTTTAAGTTTCCTGACCCAGCCACACTAGTGCAATTGGGGATATGCCTCTGCATGATGCTAGAGCCACATGCGACACCTTGGTTTGGATCCCTATAGATAAACCTGAACACAATGGATATACCTATGCATGTTTGTGGTCCTGGATAGCTAGTAGACTAAAGGGGAAATCACAGCATGGTAAGACCCTGTTGGGGCTACTTCTCTTTCTCTCTCTCTCTCTCTCAAAGTAATAATTAAACTTAAAGAAAAAAACCTTCCCTAATTTATCTCCCTTTCTATAGTTCCTTTTTCCCCTCGCTAGTATTTACTGAAGGGGAGGGGGACAACAAGTGGCATGGTGATTAAGGTGCTAGATTCCCACATGGTTAACGACCCAGTGACTTGAAAAATCCCAACAAATAATAGATAAATAAATTAATTAATTTTTAAAATGCATGTACATATATATTTACTGAGCCAACATTGAGAGGAGGAACTGGGAAGTATATAAAAAATAATCAAAGGGCCAATAGATGGCACAGTGGTTACGGTGCTGGACTCCCATGGTTCAAGTCCCATACTGGTGGCTTAAAAATCATGTCGGGCACAAATGTGTGTGTGTGTGTGCCCAAGATTCCAGGAGGAGAACAAAGGAGAAAGGACTGTAGTGTGGCCATCCCCCTTGGGGGTGAATTTTCACTTTCCCTCTCACTGTCTCTGCCTCTCTCTCTGGTCAACGCACATACCCTAAAGCAAAAACCTCTAGAAGAGAATAAAGAGAATAATCAAAGTTCTCCAGACATAGTCTAGTTGGGAACATAAGGCACTATATAGGCTCCATGTATTTAAGGACCACAATTGACGATGAGAATTCAAAGCAGAATTCCCAGAATCCAACCCATACAAGCTTCCTCACACACTATTCTCATTCTTTCCCTCCTAGTCTCTCTCTCTCTTTTTTAAAGAACCTATTTATTTCATTTCGTTTATTATTTTCTTTAATTTTTGTAAGAATTATTTTTATTTAACTTTATTTATTTATTTAAATTTGACCAGAGACAGAGTGAGAGAGAGAGAGAGAGAGAAAGAAGGAAAGTGAGAAAACAAACTACCAGGTCCAGGACTTGAACCATGGTTGGCCATGTGGGAGTCCAGTGCCCTTAACCACCATGCCACCTGCTAGTCTCTATTACTATTTTTTAATTTTTGCTATAGGGTACATGTGCTCACCAGAGAGAGAGCAAGAGAAAGAAAGTGAGAAAACAAGCTGCCAGGTCCAGGACTTGAACTATAGTCGGCCATGTGGAAGTCCAGCTCCTCAACCACTACACCACTGGCTGGCCCTTGTCTTTGTTCATCTTAATGGATAAGGCCCTCTGTTAAAATCCCCATATGTCATGCCACTCTTCATCTCTAATATCTCTCCTACTTGCTTCCTAAGCAGCAATCAAGACAATCTACTTGATAAATAACTGTAATTATTTACCAATACAATCCTCCCTTCTTTCTCCCTACTAATTCATATCTTCCACCAATTTAAAGGCTTTCTCTTTTTTTAGTTTATTTAATTATTTATAGAAAGAGAGAAACCAAAAGAGACCCTACATAGGGGATCAGCCTTCCAGTCAGCCAGGACCACGGGTATGCCCATGGGCACATCCTCACACCTAGGTAAACCTGGTATCTGAACCCCAGGTCCTTCTGCACAACTCCATCATCACAAAACAGGATGCCACCACTCTTGCCACCCCAGCTGATCCAGGTCCCTTTTTCCTATGCGTTAGTAAGTATGTAACTATGGGGGTACTTCAAAAAGTTTGTGGAAAATGTAAAATAGTGGGGCCAGTAGGTGGCGTAGTGGTTAAGGTACTGGACTCCAACATGGCACACCACGGTTCAAGACCCAGACCTGGTATCTTGCTTTCTCACTTTCTCTCTCTCTCTCTCTCTCTCTCTCTCTCTCTTTCTCTCCCTCTGTCTGTCTCTGATCAAATTTTTAAAATATATATAATAGTAATACATTAAATTAAATTTAAAAAGTAATTCTTAAAAAAAAAATACAAGTCTCAGGCCAGCTGGTAGCATGGTGGTTAAGGCAGCTAGGCCCCACACGGCTGACTACAGATTGAGTCTTAGACTTGGCAACTCTAGAAACAAGTCAGGCATACACATGTGCCCAAAATTCCAAAACGAGAGAGAAACAGAGGAGAGGGAATAGCAGAGTGACCATTTCCCATGGAGGGTGTTTTCTCACTTTCTCCCTCTGTCACTGTCTCTTTCCAGGGAGCACAAACACCTTCTGACAAATTAAAAACATAGATAAATAAAAGTCTTGCCAAGTGTGGCAGTACACACCTGTAATCTCAGCTACTCAGGAGGCCAAGACAGAAGGATCATGAGCTCAAGATTAGCCTGAGAAATAGAGTGAAACCCTGTCTCTAAAAAAATAAAAGTAAAAATATAAAACACAAAAGAAAACTTGACCCTACCCTTGGAAATCTTCTCACTCATTAAGTCTGTGGTAGAAGCTGGACTCTATTTTTTAAAAGTCCCACTGATGGTTCTCATGCACACTCTAAGCTGATAACCTGAGAATCATTGATTTATTACAATGTTCTCTATATAGCAGACATTCAGTTCTTATTAATTCATAGCATGGAGGCTGATAAATAACTTTTCTTTAAATAGCCTAACCAGATATCAGCCCCTAGACTACACTTGCTCTGTTCCAAGTGCAACATGTGGTTTTAAGATTTCATTTCCTGAAGTATTACAGGGAAAGACACTATTACCTTGTCTCTTTACATTGTTTCCTATTTGTTGAAAAAATGGAGGTCTGGAATGCAGCCATGTTAGACAATATTACATAGGAATGTACTCTGAAGTCTTAGATTAAAATTAGCCACAAACCAACAAGAATAAGAACAATGTAGCACTACACATTTTGAATGAATACAATATTCTTACTGAATAGTTCTTATTAAATCTGTTCAGAAGAAAGATCAGAAATTTGATCAGTGAAGTCTCTCTGTCTTTCTAGCTTCCAGAGTCAAGAACTGCTTGAGACAGTTTCAGAGGCCCCTGAAGGCTGAGGAAGACTTTCAGCTGCTAACTGCCTCTAAGTGCACAAAAGTGCTCTAATCAGATAAGTAACCCAAACCCCACCCAGCCCCACAGTTGCCTACAAACTATCCTGACACACACTATTTACACAGCCCAGTGGGGGAGCAGTATGAACTTTTTCCAAAGTTGTTCTTTACAGGCAGCAACAGTCTGAGTCACTCACCCAGGGTGGGAAAGAAAAGTGTGACATTGGCCAGGAGAGTGTTAGGAGACTGGACTCTGCACCTCTTTTCCCATGTCAGAAGTGGGCTCTGCCTCCTCCGGGAATCACCTCAGTTACTATTGACAATTGTGGGCTATGGTCAGCAGAGCCACTCTGCCACCGGGAAAGTTGTGGACTGGAGAGAGCAGGCCAGCCTTCTCTCTGGCTTCTGCTGAAGATCCCAGATTCCACAGGCCTCTCCCAGGAACTCCATCTTGCTTGCTACCAGGGGGAGGGTCCCCTGGTCTCGAAAGGCCCCAGTGGAAGGAAGCTGTTTGACAGCAGGTAAAGGTGAAAATCTCCACAGGAGGAAATTAAATGAAAGGCAGTACAATTAAGCAAAAAACAATCAAACAAACAAAAAATGGGTATGTGGTCGTGAATTACTGTATAAAGGTGTTTGAGAGTGTCAGAGGTGTGAGCAGAAGTAAAATGCCCAGGAGGGTAGGAGAATACGGAGTGACTAGAAAGACAAGGGGGAAAAAAAGAGCAAGATACGGGGAGCGCTGGAGTGGAGGGGTGGGTGCGGCAAGTCTCAGAGTGAAGGGCCGAAGTACTGGAAAGGAGAACGGGGCTCACGAAAGAATCCCTGGAAGGAAAAGCTGGGACTCGGTAGCAGCATTCTACCCATTCCCTCTCACCCTCCCCCCCACACACAGGCCAGATGGGGGAAGCCTAAAAAGGAGCTGAGAGCAAGGTAGTCAAGGAGAGGGACAACGGACGACAGCCTGCTGAGGGGAAGGGGCCCTCAGCCACCCTAACAACTATCATTTTGGAGGTGCCTACTATGGGCCGTACGCCGCGCTAGGCACTTCACAGATAATACCTTGCTGAATCTTCACCAGAAACCCCCAAGGCAGGCTTTATTATAACTGCTCCCATTTTAAAGATGAGGAAACTGAGGCCCAGAGAAGCTCGGGAACTTGCTCAAGGTCATCGAGCGGGGGAAATGAGCACTCGAACCCAAGGGTTTTGACTCCAGAGCCCACGTAAAGACACCGGCAGCGAGCACGCCAGGGCGAGCCGCGAAGAGGATCCGGACCACGGGAACGTCTCCCACACCCGCTCCCGCCCCAGGCCCGGCGCGCTCACCCGGACGAGGTTGCTGACGGCCGCCTGCACCGCGGCCACAGGCGCGGTGAGGTCAGGAATGGCTTTGCCGTCCACCTCACCCTCTTCGTGCATAATCACCAGGTGCGAGATCTGCTGCGCCACCGGCTCCAGAATGCTCTCGATCGTGCGCGTATGAAACACCGGCATCGCGGCGGCTAGTGGGGCGGCGAACCGCGGGCTACAGAGAAGTAGGAACGGCGGGACCGGGAAGCGCCGGAGAGACGGACTCCAGGCAGCGACTACGGAGTCGGGGTTTCCCTCAGCGTAACCAGCCTCATGGGCGCCCCGCCCCCTCGCGTCACCGGGCCCAATGGCAGCCTCGCTCAGACCTGGGCTGCCATTCCTATTGGCCCGCTTCGAGATGCTCCGCCCTTGCCACCGCACCGCCAAAACCCTCCCCACCCCCATTCCCAAGGGAGGGGCCTGGGATTGGGGCTGCGCCGCAGGGATTGCGAACGGATTCCCGAGCCCTAACGCGGGGCGCTCCTTATAAGGCCATAGTGGGAGCGGAGCGTGAGACCGGAGTCGGATGGCCCCGCCCCCCGGGGCCGCCTCCCGCCTCGGATCTGCAGAGCTCCTCCCCTCTGCGGGATCACCTCAGCGGGCGGGGTCTCCTCACCTCAGGCGGCGCTACAGTCTGACGAGACCGGGAACTGTAAGGTGTCCCTCGCCCCCTCCTCAACTTTTCCGTTCACACGAGGTTGCTGAAATACTCTTTCCAGTTCCCCTCAGAAACACATGGAAACGTTTTTTGGTTAAAGATTCAAACACTAGAAGTGCGCGGAGAAACGTGAGTGTTCCATTCATTTACACCCAGACTCCACCCGTTGGCCTCCTCAGAGATAGTCACTGCTAACAATTTGGTGTGTAGCCTTCCAGATCTCTGTGTTACATATTGTACTAAGATAATTAGTAAATAAGATCAAACTTTCTGGAACTAGGGTTTTCCCCCTATAGTTAAAATTTCCTGGTTATCTTTTTATTAAAGAATTATTTAACTTTATTTTAATTTGACCAGAGAGGGACAGAGAGAGAGGTGAGAAAGCAAGCCACCAGGTCCATCAGGTGAACTGGGTCGGCCATGTGAGAGTCCAGCGTCCTTAACCACCTGCTGGCCCCCATCTCTGGTTATCTTCCATTGTTGGTAAATATACAGCCTAGGTTTACCTCATTCTTTTTAATGACTGCGTGCTATTCCACTGCAAGAAATGAAACTATATATGAACCAATTTATTGGCCATGGACTTAAGTTGGATTCTGCTTTTCACTACTGAAAAACCGTTTTCTGTGAACATCATGTTTACCTCAGTGTTGTGGTATATGTGTATTTATATAGGACACATGCCTATATGATGTGAAAATTTTTATAGTTAAGACCAAATTACCCAGTCCCCTCACAGCTTGCTTTGTGCAAGACACCTTTTGAATATTTTCCTCACCTCAAATTCTCTTTTATCCAAGCTTCCCCATTCTAAGATAAAACACTTTCACTAATGCCTTTAAGCAAAAGATCCTCAAATCAAATGAAAATATTTCTCAAGGGCCCATATTTTGCAAGAGATTAAAAACTACCTATTGTCCTGAGCCACTTTTAAGTGCATATATTCCATGGGTGAGAGAGAGAAACAGAGATATAGCACTCCCAACAAGGTCTTGTTGCCACAATTCATGTCCCCCACCCCCTGCCTCATGCAACTTAAATCATGGACACAAGCATGCCCAGTGTCCTCAAGAAAGCCTCTAGCATCAAGCTGGCAATCTTTACATGTGGATCTACCTTGCAGAGCATCATGTTTTACAACTGTGACATAGTCTAACCCCCTTCAGCAATTTTTAAAGCCATTTTTTTTTGTCTAGTAGTATATATCTGTTGTTTCTGCTTACATGTTGACAAATCCTGAACTTAGCCTTCTCATAATTATCTTGATTTTTTTTTTACATTTTATTTATTTATTTTTTAATTTTATGAAAGAGAGAGAGAAAGCCACCAGGTCCAGAACTCAAACCATGGTCAGCCATATGGGAGTCCAATGCCCTCAACCACCACGCCACCTGCCGGCCCCTATCTTGATTTTTTTTATTACTGCTTTCATGTCTTCATAATCAGTGGACTTCCATGTCTCTCATTTTAAGCTAACATTTATTTTACATTCTCTAAATTATAGGCATTGTGATCAACTTCTAATTAAATTAAGATATATAGGGGCTGGCAGGTGGCATGGTGGTTAAAGGCGCTGGATTCCCACTGGCCAACCACAATTTAAGTCCCACACGTGGCAGCTTTCTCTCTCTCTCTCTCTCTCTCTCTCTTTCTCTCTGGTCAAATTGAAATAAACAAATGAATAAATAAATAAAATAATTCTTTTAAAAAATTAAGGTATATATACTTAAGATATACATATATATGTGTATATATATATACATATATATATATATATATATATATATATATATATTTTTGCGGAGCTAATTAATAAATAAATGTAAGTAAATAATTACTTTTTTAATTATTCAATTTGTGGGACCCATACAAAATGAAAATATGGGTCCTGTTCAAAAAACAAGAAGTAGGACTGTTGGGAACCAGCAGTTAGCGTAATGGCTATGTCGCTGGACTCCCACGTAGTCGACAGCGGTTCGTGTCCCGGACCCGGTGGCTTAAAACTCACGCAGGGCGCGTGTGCGTGCGTGCCCAAGATCCCGAGAGGAGAATGGAGGAGAAGGGATTGCGGCGTGACCATCCCCCCTGGGGGGTGATTTCTCGCTTTCTGTCTCTATGTCTCTCTCTGTCTGTCTGGTGAGCGCACGCGCCCTACAGTGAAAATCTCTCCAAAAAAAAAAAAAAAGAAGTAGGACTGTTAACGACACTAAAATATAAGCTTTTCTCTTTCTTGGTGGTTTCTCTCTCTCAAATTCTCATGGTATTTTTTAAAAAGAATTATTTCATTTAACTTTACTTATTTATTTAATTTGACCAGAGAGGGGCAGAATAAGAGAAAGAGACTTGAACTGTGGTTGGCCACGTGAGCATCCAGTGCCCTTAACCACCACACTACTTGTGGGCCCTGTCATGGTATTTTTTATTTGCCACTTAATGTTACTCTGCCTGGGCAGAGGATACATTTAGGATAAGTACAGACCCTCATAGAAATTAGGGGCCCATGCAACTACCTGGCTGCCAGAAAGATCCCCTTCTACTAGCTGCTGGGCTGATTCCTTCTTCTCCAGTTAGGGGAAGGGGATCTAAGCCAGGCATTTCCCTTATCCACAGACCTGCCTCCTCAACACACACAGCAGGTGGGTCACCTCCATAGATTCTGCAACTTTAACCCAGAGTCTCTCAATGACTAGACCAAGGGTGGGCATAGGCTTGCCCCTGCCAAGTCAAACACCACACAGATGATAGCATTGCCAGCTTTACCTAGGAATAGCTACCACCATTCCTCACCCCTAGGCACCATAGGTAACACACATTGGACCCTGACCAATACCAAGCAGAAAGCAGCAGTAATCGCTGGGTAGAGTCAAGGAGGAGGACTCTGGGCATAGTCAGAGGACAGGAGAGCATCTAGGTAGCAGAAGTCAGGTTCATACATAAGCTGAGACTACAAGTCTGAGGGCATGCTCCATTGTCCTGTTCTGTAATACAAGGATTCTTCAGAAAGTTCATGAAATATGTGTATTATGAAGAAGCTATGAGGGACCAGCAGTTAGCGTAATGGCTATGTCGCTGGACTCCCACGTAGTCAACTGCGGTTCGAGTCCTGGACCCGGTGGCTTAAACTCACACTGGGCGCGTGTGCATGTGTGCCCAAGATCCCGAGAGGAGAATGGAGAAGAAGGGATTGCGGCGTGGCCATCTCCCCTGGGGGGTGATTTCTCGCTTTCTATCTCTTTGTCTCTCTCTGTCTTTCTGGTGAGCTTTTTTTTTTTCCTGTGTGGCGCCACACCCCATATAAAAAAAAAAAAAAAAAAAAAAAAAAAAAAAAAAGCTATGCATAGATTTCCATTTGTTTTTGCACCAAAATAAAATCATGCTTTTTTTTGGGGGGGAGAGATTTTTGCTATAGGGTGCGTGTGCTCACCAGACAGACAGAGAGAGACAAAGAGACAGAAAGCGAGAAATCACTCCCCGGGGGGATGGCCATACCACAATCCCTTCTCCTCCATTCTCCTCTCGGGATCTTGGGCACGCACGCACACGTGCCCGGCGTGAGTTTAAGCCACCGGGTCCGGGACGCGAACCACAGTCGACTACGTGGGAGTCCAGTGACATAGCCATTATGCTAACTGCTGGTCCCAAAATCATACTTTTTTTTAATTGCTGGAGAGTGCATGCACTCGCCAGAAAGAGAGAAAGGAGAAGGAAAAAGCAACCCCCAATCGAGCATGGTCATACTGCAATCTCTTTTCCATTTCTCTATCCTGTTAGGATTCTGGGAACATATGCACACATACTCAAGTGTGTTTTTCAAGCCACCATGGTCAGGATTCAAATTGTAGTTTGCCATATGAGATCTGGCTCTGTCAACCACCAACCATAGGGCCAGCCCTAAATCCATGCTTTATAATTTAATTTTTCTACAAACTTTTTAAAGTTCCCTTGTACAAACTCAAAAATAAAATGATGAAGGGACCAGCAGTTAGTGTAATGGCTATGTTGCTGGACTCCCACATAGTCAACCGCAGTTCTTGTCCCAGACCCGGTGGCTTAAACTCATGCTGGGTGCGTCTGCATGTGTGCCCAAGATCCTGAGAGGATAATGGAGGAGAAGAGATTGTGGCATGACCATCCTCCCTGGGGGTGATTTCTTGCTTTCTGTCTCTCTGTCTCTCTCTGCCTGTCTGGCGAGCACACGCACCCTATAGCAAAAACCTCTCCCAAAAAAAAACAAAAAAAACAAAGAAACTAATAAGGGGGAAACCAGAGGTTACATCACTGGACTCCCACATGATCGACAGTGGTTTGAGTACCAGACCTAATGGCTTAAAACTCACTCTGGGTGCATGTGCATGTATACCCCAAATCCCAAGAGGATAATGGAGGAGAAGGGATTGCAATATGGCCATCTCCCCTGTGGGGTGATTTCTTGCCTTCTTTCTCTCTGTTGTTCTGGTGAACACACGCATCGTATAACAAAAATCTCTCTTCAAAACAAAACAAAACAAAACAAAACAAACAAACAAACAAAAATACTGGGACCAGCAGTTGGCGTAATGGCTATGTCACTGGACTCCCATGTAGTCGACCGCTG